ATCGTTGATTGATATGTTCATGGCAATTATGATAACAAGTGGTATAGTCGCGTTTTAGTCGCGTTTGCTTCGATTAGTCGTCAATCTTCGTTCTAATCCGGGTCGCGAAAGGGAAATCGGGAATTTTGGAGTTTTTACCAATTATCATTTTGTGTGTGTGTGTGTGTGCGTGCGTGTGTGTGTGAGTGTGTAATGAAAATGTCAATCATGATAGCGATATTTCCTAGTCGCGTTCGTTACATCGCTTTAGAAGGAAATGGAATTTCTAGTTCTCATGAATGAAATTTGGTTCTTATAACCAGAAATTCTATTTCCTTTAAAACGCATTTGTTTGTCAGGTAAATCCGATCAAACTCATTTTTCAATATAAGATGAAATGAAATCTCGATCTTACTAGCGAGTCAACGACCGCGTTCAGCAGAACGTTTATTTTACTACTGTTGAGACTTTCCTGTGCTAAGATGAATTTAAGCCTCTAAATTTAAATCCAAAAGAATAATCCAATCTCAGCTCAGAAAACTTCCAACAGTTGCAAAATAAACGTTCTGCTCAACATGGCCATTGTTCCAATTCGAATTACGCAACGGAAATCGGAAGCTTTCGTTACCAGTTATATCACTGATTAAAAAGGGCAATTATGATAGTGGTATTTTCCAGTCGCGTTCGTTACGTCGCATTAGAAGGAAATGAAATTTCGATCTTAATGGCGACTTATTGTCCTAATTCGGGTCGCGAAACGAAAGCTTCGAACTGTTTCAATCACTATTACGAGCGCGTCGTGCACTTCTAGGCGGCGAATGAAACGGAGCTCTTCGGCGGGATCTCGGAAAAATTTCCAGCGAAATCCTACGAATGTCGAGCTAATTAGAACGGACGATCTTCCCGCGCGAAGAGGAGAGACTTCCTCTCTCCCCAGCCGGCATCGCAATCATACTTCTACGATTTCACTTGATGAAACCTGAGCAGGGTTATAGAACGATTGCAATCAAATGATGCGTCTCTTCCCCCGTCTATCGCCGCTACAGTGCCTTGTCGTTTCTATTTTAATAGGCTGACTAATCGTGACTCTTCCTCTCGCGCTTAAGCTCACACGTTATGTGTTCCCTTACGGAATTCCTCGCACGTGTGTGTCATTAGCACGCTCATTTTCACGGATCATTTGCAAATCCAATCGTCTGGATCGATTGTTTTCCGCTTTCAAGCGTTTTCTTATATTTAAAGAAATTTTAAAGGAGCGCTCGGGTCAACGTAGACATCCTTGCACAGTTGTTCTGTACAAATAAAAGTGAATTTTTTGAAAAAACAAAACTCTCTGAAAGTATTTTCGAAATTTCTTAGGTCGAAATTTCGCTCAAAAAGTAAAGTAGTCATCGAATCATTCGAATTCGAGCCTAATCTTTCTTTCATATAGAGGAAATTCGAGTCTGATCTTTCTCTTATATAGAGGAAATTCTTCGCTCTGAATTGTTGAGTGAATATCTTTACTCAAAATTTGTGGATTGAATCTGTTGTATCCCACCGTCACAGGAACACATTCACATTCACTCTGATCGATTGAAACATTTGTACACTGAGAAAAGAAGACTTAAAAATGTATTTGTGAAATGTAAGGTTTATTTCATAGAAATAAACGTTTATTTAAATACGGCGAAATAAAATTTTATTCCTAGCAAATAAACCAATTAATAGGGAAACATAGATTTCACAAAAATATATATTCTGTCGTTACAGTCAAATTTTTCTCCAACCAATAAATATCGAAGAAAATGTCGCAAGAAACATTAACTCGCAAAATTTCAATCTTTTTCTCTCAGTGTAAAAATGGTTTTCCTGATTATAACTTTTTCACCATGCGATACACCGATAGAAAAGAGCATTATACATCCAAATAAATATCTGCTAAGGAGTACTGGGTTGAATTAAGTCAATTAAGTTAATTTAAAGAAGAAGAACCAATCGAAGACGTTTTGTAAAGTTTTGGAACAGCCATCGAGTAAGAATTTCCCTCGGAAAGCACGTTTTGGAACGTAACTCGAGAAATTTCGGAAGTAAAGAATATGATTCTCGTCGGGATTCGAAGTCGCCGCTCGAAGTTGCCCTTGCGCGCGAACGTCAACCTGTTTGCTGCTCGGTCGCCGCGAAACGGATGGAAGATACCGCGGGACCGAATGATAAACCGGATGATGAGCCGAGGCGTCATCAAGGGCAGCGAGCGGCAATTTGACACCCCGACGAAATGGCGCTTCGCTTTCCATGCCTATTACATCCAATAAAATGTATCTGACCGGACTCTCCACTCCCGCGCAAGTTCGTCGCAACATTTGCGAATCACGGGACGGTGAATCGCGCGGTGCATCGTCGTTAGTGTCGGAGTGTGGGTGTTAGCGAGCAATTAACGCCAGCCTTTGACTCGCACGAGAATGTGACGCGACGCGACATGTGTTTACGCACGTCTGTATGTACATAATACCGTGTATCGCCTTCGCCTCCGCGTTACGAAAATTCAATTAGCGCCTCGGTTACGATTTATAGCCTCCTCAACCACCGGCACAACAACGAGACATTGTTCATACCGTGTAACGGCATCGTCAAATAAATGTCTCGCGCGAACACTGCGAAGAGTGATGATTCCATTCAAATTGCGTTGAATGTCTCTCTTGCTCTGTTTTTCTCTCTCTCTCTCTCTCTCTCTTTCTCTCTCTGTCCTTTTGATTTACAAGTAAATCAAAGCTCTTTATGTCTATTTGAAACGGACATATCGCCACTTTCGAATTATGTTCCTCTGTTTCGTTCACCTTGCAATTTCCCACATCATTGAGAAAAAAATATTTGTAACTACACTGAAAGAAAAAAGTGTTACATTCAAATAAATATTTGCTAAGGAATATTGGAGTAATTATTTTACTCGGATTAAATAAATATTACACGAACGTTGAAACATTTACTTGGATGTAGCGCTTTTTTTCTTTCGGTATATAATCACATGATGAAAAAATTATAGTCAGAAGAATCCATCTTTATTTACTGTTCGTAGTAAGAAAGAGTTACTATGGTGTTTGTGATAATGATCTTACATGTGTATTGCCGCTACTATTTTTCTATTAGAATAAAGTGATATAGTTGGCGACGAAAATGAGTACAATTCTAATGACTAATCATATTTTCTTGGTGACTTCTTCAATTACAATTTGCATATTTTTTGCACCGCTAGGTGCCTTAATTATACGGGAACGTGTATAATTAACGGAGATAATAATTCCAGTAACTCTATTATCTCGAGAAGAAGTCACAACAGAAGGAAATCGAAGAGCGTTCCTCTCTTTCCCTCTTTTTCTCTCCGACTCGATTGTAATAGGTCTGCTCGCGATATCAGTTGCAAGAGTGCAGCGCGTTTTTCGGCCGCTTCGGTCTTTATCGGATTTTGCGAAGTTCTCCCCTTGAGAAAGCAGCTTAAGCATGTCGAGACATTTGGCTGGCATCCGCCGGTGGCGGCAGGAACGAGGGGGGTTAACGCGAGCATACCGGGAACGTTCGGTTCCCCGGGAAATCGATATTTCGTGGGGACGGCCGTCGTTCACGCGGATGTCAGACGTGGAAGCGACCACCTACACGATTTTATTGCGAGGGCGTGTTACGACGGCTGCCTACGACGCGTTTTCGTCACTCGTGACCGAGATGGTTGCGTAATGTCCGCTCGGAGCTGAACCTCGAGCGAGAAATTAGTCGCCACTTTATTTTTACGGTATTTTTTCCTCTTCCCTCCCCTCCTCCCCCCCTTGTCCCATTGTGTTACGTTGCTCACACTCGTCAATCTGGCGGTCGCGAGACGTTTCCGCGAAATTGCGTTCGAACAGCGAACCTCGCGTGTCGCGAGAAGCAGGTAGAGAGGAAAATTGCGATGCTAATTGCTTCCGTCGAGAATTTCGGCTCGATCGCAAACTCTCTGACGAGAATTTGCACGTTTTTGCGCGATTTTCGCTCATCGTGATTTTGCGCGTTTTATTACGTTTTCTGTTCTTTTTCTTTGATATTAACACGTTGAACACCAACATCACAATACTATCGCATCTCGTTAAAGTTCGTATTGGTCCGTGTTAAGCCAATACTTGAAACTTGTCTCACGGGAGATACTCAGCTTTGAGTTGAGTGTCAGTTTCTTGGTTGAGTCGCGATTACAAATGTAGTGGCATGTATATCGCATGATCTAACTGGAAAACATGGATCTAACTTTAAACTCAGATCTGCATATCTCACGTGAAACGAATCATGATTATTCGTGCCTAAGTTACATATAATGTGTAATTAAGTGCATCTGAATATCAACTATATAGCCACTGGAGAGCCAATGAAAACAGGTAAAAGATACGTGTACATTCCGAATCGCATTTCTTAATTCGATTATCAATTAAACGTCTTACAATCAATATGACAATCAATGCGTTAAATAATGGCGTTGGCGGAATGACTGACTTGTAATTTTAAAATAATATTTTATGTCTCAAGTCTTTGTCTAAATTATCAATTTTCTTTTTTTAATTATATAGCGGTTTGTCGTTAACCACAAACAGAACGGCTTTTTAGTTTAAGACTCCAGAAAGTCATTGTGCGTTACTTAAGACGAAGGCACAAAATGATGTCCTGAACAGATAAATCAATCATTCCGCTGAATTTATTATTACTTTTCAACAATTATAATTTAACTTTCCCGATATTTCACAATATTGCATTAAATTTCGTAAGGAAAATTATGATTCACTTTGAAATATATTCAGCAATTTTTCGATCAATTTTATTCCACTTTTCCTCGATTTCACGGTACTTTTAGCGAAATATTTCCATTAAGGTATTTAAATATTATTTGCTCAATCCAAGTGGAAATTTGCTAAGGAGTATCGGCGAAATTATTTACTTGAATCTAGCACCTTATTTCCCCCATCAATTAATTGTTGTAAACGTTACACGCGAATCTGATGGCGCGCTTCCGTTCGGATCGTTCGCAGTTCATGAAAATAGCCAAGTCGATGATGGGCGAGACGCTGTTCTCGAAGCTCATGAAGGCAACGTTTTACGGCCATTTCGTCGCCGGCGAAGATGAAGTGCAGATCACGCCTGTTCTGGACAGACTGCGGCAGTTCGGCGTCAAGCCGATCCTCGATTACTCCGTCGAGGAGGACATCTCGCAGGAGGAAGCCGAGCGACGCGAGCTCCAGTGAGTGTACCACCTCGTTCCGTTTCGTTTCCTGTTACGTTAACGTGTTACGCTGTTGCGCGTGTACCCTCGATTTCTCGAGCCCGCGCGAGCACTGTTCCGCGACTGGAATCCCTTCGTATGGAATTTAATCCCGCGCATATCGCTTTACCGCATCTCACGACGACGACGACGCCGCTGCGCGCGCGCTAATTTTATCGGGGAACGACGGTTCTCTATTTACGGTTCCCTCTTTTGCGCACCGGATCGGGAGAGAGAGAGAGAGAGAGAGAGAGAGAGAGAGAGAGAGAGAGAGAGTTCCTTTTTCTTTTTACCTGAAAACGCGAAGACCGGCTCGGATGATCGCGGAAAGTTACAGGACGCGAAAGGTGGCGAACGCGCGAAATCGCGACGCGACGATTGTAAAAGAGAGAGAAAAAAAGCGGAGAACGGAGGAAACAACAAAACGGCGAATACGATGCCACGGTTTGTATGTGTGTTTCTCTTATTTTCAGAGCCTCGGTGTCGGAGGCGGGCGACGAGAAGAGGGAAGGCCCGCTGAAGAAGTACCACGTAGAAAAGTCGTTCGCCGACCGGCGGTACAAAGTGTCGTCGGCCAGGACATATTTCTACCTGAATGAGGCGTCGTGCGAGCGAAACATGGACATATTTATCAGGTGTCTGGAGGCCGTGGCGGGTGAGTCCTGCTTCTTCAGCTCCTCCCCCGGCCGGTCGTTCCCATCTTCCTCCTCCTCCTCTTCCTCTTCCTCATGCATACAAAGAAAAATATTATACCGCGAAGGAAAGCACATAGTCAATTTATTTTTCTTTTTTTAAGTAACGGTTATTTTAAACAAAGAATATTTTCTTGATATTAAAATATACTTGTTGCAAGTATTTCGTAAGCTTATACATCCATAAATATGTCATAAATTCATCATGAGCAAATTTATTCAAAATATTATTCTAAATTCTAGTAAGTTTAGTACCTCAATCAAGAACATTACATTAAAACACTAAAACTAAAGCTTTTGTTTACTCATTCCAATTAACCGAATTTAACTTTTCTTCGATAAAGTTTGTAGTATTTTTGAAAAGAAAACAAATTCTTCTTTTGAGTAAATAATAATGATCTTTTTTAATATTTGTAATGAGTATATTTTAATACTATATCACAACAGAACAAATATTTTTTATTCAAGATAACTATTGCTTAAAAGAAGAAAAATAAAAAATTGTCACGTGTGTCGTTATGTGGCATTAAAATATAAAGGCAACCTATAAAGGACTTCTGACTTGTCGTCCGACTTGCGGGTAACAACAAGCACAGCTCGTTATTCCCGGAATGGGAATGTATGCTCGTCAATGAGCAATCAGACGCGAGCGGCACGCGTTAAATTAATTAACACGTTTACCATCGCGTTGATTTCCATTACTTCAACGCTCGACTAAAGTTCGAATCACCAAACACGCACGGCAGATAAACGTAATTCATGATACATGCGTTCGTTAGTCCGTTTTGTATTGGCTCCCCATTGGCTATATATTTAATTCGTCGCACGCAAGTGGTTCCGTACGTTGATATTTTATAATTGGTTTTATAAAATTTTCTACAATTTTATATAATTGATTTTACATATTAAATTAATGAGATGCGGCAATATTAGAACGTCGGTCACCGCACTGAGAGGAAAATATTTGGTATTTTGGTAATTATAATCATCATAGTGGAGGAACTATAGTCAAGAGAAACATTTTTCTAATTTTATTATATTATCTGTGATAATAACTTTACATGCATGTTGCTATCACTATTTTTGTACACAGAAAAAAACAAGCGCTAGATTCAAGTAAATAATTACTCCAATATCCCATAGCAAATATTTACTTGGATCGACTAATATTTACTTGATTTGAGTAAAATATTTTTCAATTAAATTCAAGTAAAATATCTACTTGATCCAAGTAAAACTTATTTAATCCAAGTAAAAATGTACTAAGGAGGAGTTTTAGAATAATTATTTACTTGAATTTAGCACTTTTTTCTGTGTGGTTAAAACTATAAATGATGTGTCTGTATATAGGTTCAGCTAACACCAGTAAAAGAGGCAAAGTTAATAGCATATAAAATTACTGGTGTTGCCCTACCAGTAAATCAGCTGTTAGTCAAAGGCTGGATCATGTATTGCCTTGGACGATAAATAATTCTTATAATGACTGAATAAATAATGTAAAACAGATGTTTTCTTAATACGAGCATGTGAAATGATTGTCTTTTTATATTCAAGTATATGAAAAAATAGGGATATTAAAGGATATCTTGGATTTAACATTACTGACTTAATTTGCCTTATTATCAGAATATTAACATACATTTCAACTTCGATTTACTCAAAATCACATATGTCTCTTTATCTGCACTTGATATATGTTGTTTTGTTCACTTCAACAGCCAGTTCCAGCGGACTCTCTTTTACTCGCTTGGTTTAATTATATTGAGTACAACAATCATATATCTCTCTCTCCAACAACTGTATGTCAATAGCTGATTTATTGATGAGGAACGCAGCACCAGTAATTGTCGCTATTGCCAATTTCATCTCTTTTACTGATTATAGCTAAATCTACCTCGAAACGCACCTAAAAAAAGTATAAAGTTGAGATTATAACTAATAATATAGCGATAGTTAATAACTATAATTTCTTTTTTCTCAGTGCGGTGAGTACCCTGTGGCAGTTAACGTGCTGGTGCAACAACGAGAGAGAGAGGGAGAGAAAAGTAGCCTTCGTGTTGGACTCGACATTTTCTCAAATAAGAGCGACGTCGTGTCGCTTTTTCACGGATGATAATAGCGGAGTCGAGCGACGTCGCGAGGTCGCGAGAGTTCGCGCGAAATCGATCGCCGCCCTCGGCTACGCCGGCGGCGGATCTTCCTCGTCGGAGCTCTCTCTCTCTCTCTCTCTCTTCTCCCCTCTCTCTCGCCGACCTGACACTCGGCTACATAATGTTGTTGTTCGGCCCCTCGACGCTGTGTAACCGTGTCGGGCCATTGCCAAAACGAGCACACCGCGACGCCGCTTACAACACGCGTGTCGCGGCGCGTGTTCTCTTGCATCGGCCAACTATGACGAACGACTTGACGACGATGGACCTTTCGAAATTCCGCGAGTCAGAGGCGCGTGCCCGCGCTGTCCCACGGTCGGCTATAAATATCGGATACGCGAGCGGACCACCGCGCCGCCCGTCCTCCAGCCAAATCGCGTGACGTAACGCGTCGGGGACGAGTTTGACGAACGAGGGACCGGCCGCGAGATACGATCGATGCGTTTTCTAAACGAGATCTGGGAGAAAGCCTTGATATATTGTCGCGATATTGTTGATCCCTCCTCCCCCTCCCCGGCAAGAAACTGATATGAAGAGAGCTACACGTGCGCACTTTTACAGCGGACGAAGTCGAGACCCTGCGACTGAAATATCCTTTCCACGACATCACGCGTAATGACCAAGTCGAACCCCATCCTGGTAAGAAGACATTCAGGCTACGTTCAGGAGACTCTATGGTTGAGTGAACGCTCTCATTGTCATTGAGAATATTCCTTCGGATTCACCATGGATCTAAAAGAATATCTCAATCAAAAACGACAATGACCATTTTTGGCAGAACGTTTATTCTACAACTGTTGGAAGATTTCTGTGCTGAAATTGGATTATTTTGGTAAGTCTACAGGAATGATCCAATTTTAGCACAGAAAACTTCCAACAGTTGTGGAATAAACGTTCTACCGAACGTGGCCAATCACTCATCGGTTGTATAACCGTTGTGTCTCCTGAACGCACCTATAATAACGCTATGTTCAGCAAAGAAACAAGCTCAGTGAGCGTTTAGTGATCACTGTCCGTAACTGGAGTTCTTTCAGATCCTTGATAG